AATAATAATAATAATAATAATAATAATAATAATTATTATTATTATTATTATTATACGAAATTATTCCCAGCTGATTTTTTTAAAAGTAAAACATCACATTATGAAAGTTACGTGGGCAGCAAATGCTTTATTATTATTATTATTAATATTATTATTAATAATAATAATAATAATAATAATAATAAAATGGCTATACATTAATAATAATAATAATAAAATGGTTATACACTAATTATAATATTAATAATCATCATCATCATCATCATCATAAATTTATAGTAATACATTAAAATACATTTGCAATAATAATTAGTTATTACTTATTACTTAGTTATTACTATTATTACTATTATTATTAATAATAATAATATCATCATCATTATACAATATGTAAATAATACTATACTAATAAATATTATGAATAATTAAATAAATACATAAAAGTAATGTATTTATAAATTTAAATGATTACATATACACACACATTAAATATTTATTATTATTATTATTATTATTAAAACGAATATACACTAATAATAATAATAATAATAATAATAATAATATATTAGAAATAATAATCATCGTCTACTAATAGTAAAATATAAACTACTTAGACACTACCACTAACAATAAAACTAATTATTTTAATTTTAATTGTAAAGCACATCTGTGAAGTGTACAATATACATCAATTTTCATTTAAAAATAAATAGTTGTATCTTTTTATTACTGTTTTATAGTACGGAGTTTTTTCTCATTACGGTAATGTATCCCCAATAGAAATTCCCAGATGACAATCCATATGATAAATAAATAAATAAATAAATAAATCCACTCTATACAAATCTCATAGCAACATCAAAACTGATATATATATATACACACACACATTTGTTCATTTGTTTTTTAAATGGTAAAGTACATCTGTGTACATCTATATCTGTGAAGTGTACAATTGTAATAAAGTATATTTTTTTTGTATTCCCATTACACTCTAAAAAATGCTGGGTTAAATACAAACAAGTGCTGGGTGAAATATGGACAAACCCGGCAACTGGGTTGTTTTGAATTAATGTATTCCCAGTATAAATTTCCAGATGACGATAATTCTAAATATATAAATAATAATGCCACAAAACTAGACTGTATATGAATCTCACAGGAAGATCAAAATAAAGTTTGCATAAAGAAAATGTAAAAAAAAATAAAATAAAAAAAAAATAATAATAAATTCAGCATTTTGTTTAGTTTTTTCATGACAAATAATCAAATTTACACTTACTCTCTAATTCTCAATAGCATACTTCATTGATAAATGAATGAATGAATGAAAACTGGGTTGTTTTGACCCAGCGGTTGGGTTAAAAGTTTAACCCAACCTTCTGGGTAGTAACACAACCGCCCTGTTTGTCCATATTTCACCCAGCACTGGTTTGTATTTAACCCAGCTTTTTTTAGAGTGTAGAAATTCTTCATCCACATCCAGTATAATCCAGGCACAAAACCAGACTGCATACAGATCTCCCAGTGCTATCAACAGACCTCAAACATGTCTGTCAGTTCAGATTTTGTTACCTGCTTATTTCCGTTTGTTTTAAATGTCAATACAAATGTGAGGGATGAGATGCGTGAGTTGATAGACAGGGTTGTCACACTCACTCCACCATCAATTGTCTATAATGGGCAGCTTTGACATTTAATTTCAGTGTGTGTACGGAGCGTGCCGCAGATGAATTACACTCTGATTTGCCGGACTGACTATTTAATGATAGCTGTCAGAAAGACCGTCACGTCAAAACATATTCTGCGTGACGCTCGAGCAGGCCTTTCCATTGTGGCCCAGATTATTATGCTTATGAAGGGCTACTGAGGGCAAACATTTGGCTGTGAGATGAACATTTCTAATGCATTAAATCAAGTGAGAGCAAGACTAACTCTATTACTGAAGTGAGATTACAGAAGCATCTTTAGCAGCTTCCAACTTTTCCAATAAAGCAATTCAATAAATGGCATGATTTCAATTAATGCCCTACCATGTGTGAGATGCGTCCATTCAACGCTTGGCCTTTTTCAGATAGAAATTGCCTGGAGACTGTAATGTTCTGCTTGAACTAGCAGCAGACTGCAGCCCAGCGCTTTGAAACCAAGAAGCCGTGCGTCTGACTGACAGAACACAATAAAAAAACTATTAGTCTGGAGAGAGCGTCTTCATCGGCCATCGCATACATAGAGAGAGACGCTCATAACGGAGACTGAGAAGATGCTTTCGTCTTTTGGGAGCATCTTACATTCGGTGGGAATGGTACTGGGATACTGAGCATTAAAATGATGAAAAGCTGAAAATCATTCATGAAAGATGTTCAAAGTTTAAAAATGCATTCAGTCGCTCAGAAGATATCAAGTGAGGAGTCGTATTCAGTGAAAAGTTCTAGAGAAAGTGAAGTTGATGGACGGAAAAGCAAATCAATAAATACTTAGAGAGAAAAAGCAAAACATATTTAACTCTGTAAAGCCTGACATATGAAATTATAATCAGAAATGTATTTATTTTTTCTAAATGGAACAGTTTATTGAACATTCAGAACAGAAGTGCCCAAATTTTTAATGCACTTGATTGAGGGTCGTGGGTCAAAAGTAAATGTTGCTGCATTATATCCAATTATTTTACATTAAAATGCATTAAACTGAAAAAAAAAAAAGTAATTAATTGTTTACAATTATTTTATAATTATTAAAAAAATTTTTTTTTAATTATTTTAAATTTAAAATTATTTAAGCAAATTGTTTAGTTTTATTACATTTCAATGCAAAAAATAAAAATAAAAATAAAACAAAAACATAAATTAGAAGATATATCAAACTTGAATGAGGGATGTTGGCCAAAAGTAAATAAATATTGCATTAAATTAAATTGTTATATTAAAATGCATTAAATAAATAAAAATACAATAATAAAACATTAAACAAAAATGTGAATAATAAAAATGTTTTTGTAATAAAAATCAATACTATTGTTTTTTTTATATTTAAATGCAAAAGTAAAACAACAGATATTTTAAAATACAAATATAATTTAGAATGGAAGATATGCATCAGAGGCATGTTTTCCCCATTTATTCTCCTCTCGTATTATGAAAAATGTTTAAATATACTTTCAAAAAGTTTGCATATGTATTTATGTTCTGTATCATATTTGATCCATCAGGCTTTTATGGCACATATAGTCTGATATAGTGAGAATATGGAGGAAAAAAAGCTAAATTTTATTCAAAAACTAAAAAAATATGCAATTTGGTGCAGATTCTGATATTTATATGACAAAAAGTGATGAAATTCTGCAGCTTGTAATGTAAATCAATGAGATCTTTATAACAGTACAGCAGATACTGACATAAACTGATCTAAATATCAGTGGTCACTCTATGTCTCCAATAATATGTCTTAGTAAGATGATACTGAAATTATCCAAACATATAATGCAATGCAATCCAATGCTGATTGAGAGCTGAAGAAATAAAGGCTCCTCAGAAGATCCTGAGGATCAGATTTGAGACTCTACAAAATGATTGATGGAGAATCAAGTAAAGCTGAGCTGCTTCAGTCCAGTAAGTGTTCATCTGGAAATATGACTACAGTTATTCTGACGTTTACTTGATCAAAATCAGCAAAGATTTGTCAACAAGACACATGAAGCACCAGCTGAAGCTGGACGTTTGTACAATTAGACTAAACTCAGACGACAGAAGGCATGTACTGTAGGGTTAAAATCAAAGTTGTGAGACCTGAAACTCCACCTGGAGTCAAGCCCGAAGCACATAGAAATATATTCAGATTATGCATTCTGCCTAATTAAGGATCTGATTCCACCTGCTGCAATCACAAGCTTTGAGTTTTAAAGTGGATATTTATATATCTCTTCTCCGCTGATGTGATGCGATATCATTCTTTCAATGGCAGACGACTAAAGTTAGAGCCACTTTTTCTCGACCCGCGGCTGCTGCATCGCTGACCTTTCCAGACACGGCATGCCGCTGCATAGATATTGGATTTAACATCCTCTCACCTAAATGAAAAAGACTTGCAAAACCAACACTGGGCAAACCTTGCAGCTCGTGCGGCATCACGGCGGATTACCGTACCTTAATTTGTCGGTTGCAGCTTTGCGTCGAGAGATTCGAGCCATGAACAGAGGGAGGCTGACGGCATCCAGCCAGCGCTTCTCATACTTTGGTTCATTAGCCGAAGGTGAGGAGGGCGACGACGGGGCCTGGACGGAATAAATGAGAGGGAGAGAGTGAGAGGCCAGAGCAGAAACATCTCGTTTTAGTGCCCTTTGATCACGGTGCCAGCGGCCCCTTAACAACCACGGCCTGCGATTCAAAAGCATCCGCGGCGCTCGACCCCATCTGATAATAACACCGGCTAGACCTGATCCTGCTGCATTTTACAAATCAATGAGGATTACAGTTGCGTTACATAAATGCATGACATTTTCCATGCATATTCCCAGAAGAAGGAGAAAGATGATGAAAGTCTAAAGCTGATGAACGTTTGAACACTGTAAATGCATCGTTAGCTTTCAAAAGCTATGGAAGCATATTTCAGCCACAGATTTAAAAATAAATAAATTGGTAGTAATTGGTAATTGCAAATTTTTTTTCTCAGATATCTGACCTTGTTCTCACAATTTTGAGTTTACATCTCATAATTCTGAATTGATATATTGCTCATATATATTATATATAGTGAATTTCTATCTATCTATCTATCTGTGTGTGGAATTTTTTGTTCTAGCAGAAGCAAAGACAGAAAAACAGAATTGCAAGACATAAACACAGAAGAAATGTTTTTCTCACAATTCTGACTTTTTCTCTGAATTCTGAAACAATTCAGAATTGCGAGATATAAACAGAATTGCAAGACATAAACTCAGAATTCTGACTTTTTGTTGCAGTTGTTACTTATTTTCTCAGAAGTTTACATCTCGTAATTCATTTTTTCCCTACCATGGAATAAAAAAAAAAAAAAGAGAATTCAGAATTTCAAAATAAACAACTATGAGATATTAAACTCAGAATTCTGACTTTTTGTTGCAATTGTGACTTTTTTTCTTAAAATTCTGAGTATACATCTTGCAATTCAATTTAAAAAAAAAAAAAAATGTTTCTGCAATGGAATAAATGCAACAATTCCAACTTTTCTTATATACCAAATTTATATGTCAACATTTGAACTTTTCTTCTCAGAATTTATACCACAGTTTATATCAGAATTGCGAGGTAAAAAAAAAAAAAAAGTCTGAATTGTGACATTTTTTCCTGTGGCAGAAACCATATAGTTGGGAAATAATAATTTTGAATTATTAGCAAAAAATATGTCGAAAATGCTAAACTTTCAAAAGTCTGAGACCACATTGAAAATGTAGCTTTCAAAATCTAATTTAAATATGGAAATAAACAGAAAGGTTTAGAATGGAAGCTTGTTTTTTCTCAGAGTTTATATCTCACAATGCTGAGTCTATATCTTGTAATTGCGAGTTTACATCTCGTTTACATCTCACAATTTCTAATGGTGTCAAATCCTAATGATGAATTCTGAGTTTACATCTCACAATTCAGACTTCTGAATTTACAAAAAAGACAAAATTGTGAGATATAAACTCATTGCGAGAAAAAATGTCAGAATTGTACGATAAGTCGCAATTACCTTTTTTTTTATCCCATGTAAGCTTCCATAATTGCAGAATTACAAGAAAAAAAAGTCAGAATTGCAAGATGTCAATTCACAATTACAAGATTATGACTTGCAATATTGAGATATAAAATTGCATTTCTGAAAAAAAAAAAAAAAGTCTGACTGAATTGTGTTTTTCCTGTGGCAGAAACCATATAGTTGGGAAATAATAATTTTGAATTATTAGCAAAAAATATGTCGAAAATGCTAAACTTTCCTCATCTCGTCACATTCAGTTAGGAATTACATGAATCTGGTAAAAAAAACAAACATATTTTCCATTAAAAATGGTGAATTTGAGAGAAAAAAAGTTGAGCGGTTTGCATCACTGCGTATTACTGACAGTTGTTTAACATTTCTGTTGTAAAACAGATGTCAAATATTAAATGTTTCACTACTTCCATCTCACCTCACTCTCTTTCAACGTTAAACTGACACTTCATGCTGACAGTAAGCCCCGCCTACTTTGATTTGATTGGCTGTCTCAGTCATTCTGACATTGATGAGCGCTGTTAGACTGCTGAGGCAGATCAGCCTAAAAATGTGACTTTTAAATCTTTTTGTCATCCTATAACAAACAGAGCACTGCATAACAAAATGCAGCAAATCAGTGCAAGATTTTCAAGCACTGGAGGGGCAGTTTGGCCATTTCTATTTATTGTGGGAAACTTCCCCCTCAGTGTCTATGATGGTTACGGCCCTGACAGAGACAGGCTTCCACAGACTGCTGCAAACGCTGCTGGGAACCCATAAAATTCAGCTCGTCAATTCTACAGTTTATAGTCTTCAAACTGTGCAGCCCCTAGTGTGCGTCACATTTGTGCTCTACTCAAAATCCCATCAGTCATATCAGTATTAACGTAATAGTATGCATGACATGCGTGAATCTCTCGAATGCAAATAGTCAGTGCAAAGTAGGTAAGCTTATAAATCTCCTTCGTATCAAATCAAAATCATATTTTTCTGCAAAACACATCAGTACAGGTGCTTCACAGTAGCTGCGGGATGCTTAAGATGGGGATATAGATTTTTTTTACAGCCGTTTCTGACCTTGCTTCTAGATACAATGTACAGAGCATTTGGGTTTATCTTAAAAAGTCAGAAACTAAACTTGAAAAGGTAAAAATGCAACTTGAAATGAGCCCTTGAAAACATTTTATTTCAGCTAGTTTCCAAGGCAATGTTTGATTTTCCTTTAGTTTAACTTGATGTATTAAAATAACTAAAAATGAAATAAACAAAGTATAATAAACAAACATAGCAAAAAAAAAGTATT